CAACATAACTCCATACATAGAAAATTCTATACCATGAAACTTTGTTTCATGCACATAATTATTAAAAATATTGCCTAAAATTACCTTCAGGCTTTATTTATAAAGTGTGTATAAAACACAAATAAATTTCATGTTTAGACTTGGGTCCCATCCAATTATGTATATGCAAATATTCTAAAATCTGAAAAAAATCTGAAATGCTTTCGGTCCCAGGCATTTCAGGTAAGAGAAACTCAGCCTGGACCTGTTTCATAGGGGTCATTGTGAGGGCTGAACACTTGAGACCATGGCTTGCAGTCCTTGTTCACTAACAGTTGATTGTGTGTTTAGGGAAGGAGGTTCACCGTCTGGGAATCTGGGAAGAAGTGACCCTTGGACTGTTTCATAGGTCCAGGATCCTGGATGCTTCCTGGCTCTCGCCTCATCTCTCTGATCATTCTGGGCAGTGTTTGGTCGTCTGACTGCCCTGGGGCCCCTGGTGGGCATTGAGGCCTCCCTGTTCCATTCATAGACCCTTCTTCCCCTTCTTCTCTGGCACCTGCCAGCGGCTGGGAGCGCTTCCGCTTGTTCCCTTCCTCTTGCCGCCCCTTCCCCCTGACTGGTCTTCCCTCCCTCTCTCAACCTGGCAAAGCCTTCTCTTATTATCCCCAATGCCATCCACATAGTAGGTGCTTTGCAAAACTTCGTTGCTTTACCCAAGCCCAGGCAGCGCCCCACATGGACCTGGCCTGGTGCCGTGGCTAATTCTGGCTGGGCCAAGTTTCTATTCAGGGCCCTGAGTCTCCTGGTAGGCCTGGTGTGTCGAGGGCCACAGTTTTCCTTACCATTCTGGAGCCACTGGGCTTCTGGGTAAAACTGTCTGGCCAAGAGACACAGGCTTTCATTTTTTAGAAAGGAAACCCTTCCCAACTGGTGGAAAATAAGCTTTTGCTTAGTGACTAATAACATAAACACAGACAAGATTTCTGGGCTTATAAATAACCAGTTGTAAAAGCGCCCAAGGGAAGCAGCCCATTTCTCCAGAAGAATGGCCGAGAGTGTTCCTACCACCTCGCCGATAGTGACCTTAACCATGGGCAAGGAGCCCTGGGCTGAGGGTGCGGAAGCTGGTCATTCTTCAGGGCGAATTCCCAAGGCCTTGCTCTTATAAATTATATATCCTAGACTTCTGGAAAAATAATAGGTGATCGCGACGTTCCCTCCTGCTTGAAAAACCTTGTTTTTCTGTGGCAGCCATAACCCATTTTAAAGAGCCTTGCGGTCGGGGAGAGGAAGCCCTTAGGGATTTTGTTCTGCCGTAGCTGCCCAAGAGGCAGGTGAAGTATGATGGGGATGGCTTCCATTGACGGAGCACCAGTTTGGGAGGCGCCATGCTGAAGACAGACTCATTGAGTCCCCCTAGGACCGTATTTGGAAATCATTAACCTCATTGATCTGACGAGGAGAAGTCAGAGGAATTAGTGTGTATGAATAATAATATAGAGGCCAAGAGCTTGGAGTCTGCAGTCAGACTGCTGGGGCCCAGTCCTGGTGCTGGCTGTGCTCTCTGGAGCTGTGCCCATCAGTCATTAGCCTAACTGCCCCCAAGGGTGGCGATCTATACTACAAGGAGACTCAGAGGACCACATCTATATGGCAGAACTCATGTAAAACGTTTATTAGCATGGGGCCTGTGCATAGTAGGGCTACAACACATGTTGCTGTTATCAAGAAGGAACTCAAGAAGCTTCACCTCTGACGCCACACACCTCCAAGTCTAGAATTCTTACTTGCATTTAGCTCATGGAGGTTGCCTTCAGGACCGTGGCCTTGAGACTTGGATTGCTTCCTATGAGCCCGGGTGAGGGGTGAGAGATGCTGTCCCAGAGCCTGGCCGGACCTGGTGGGGAGTTCTCTGACGGGGTTGCCAGCGCATGACATTGAGGGGCTAATTTTATCACTCAGATGCCACCTGCTTCCCACAGTGGCTCCTGACAAGGTTTTCAGGGTGTCAGTAGGAATACCGAGTGGCCCAGTTGACCAGCGGAGGTTCAGTTAAGGAAACCAGACTGGGAGAGGGCAGCCAAGGATCAGCATTTTATTTGTGTTTGACCCCGGAATCTTCTTTGCCCAGGAGATCTTACAGAAGCCGTGCTCCAGGGCTTGTGCACGTGGAGCTATTCCTCAGCTTCCTCACCCTGCAGCCAGTAGAGAGAGAGGCTGGAGACCAGTGAGGATGGGCTGGGGTGGTGAGCAGGACTCCTGTACAGGTGGGACCACGGGACTTGATGGAACCTGTTTTCTAGGGGGTGACCATCCTATCGAGCTGTCCTGAACTGGACTGTGCTTATGTCTGCTTGATGCCTAGCCAGCCTGCTGGATAGGAAGGAGCCCGGTCCCCAAAACAGCCCCAGGGTCTACACTAGGCTGTGGCCTCCACCTCCCGGTGACAGTCACCAAGGGGCCAATGATGACTTTGGCCCCTTTAAGGATGCGCAGACTCGTTGGGGTGTGAGGCCCTTGTTTATTTTCCGGTCAAAGTCTTTCCCTCTTTCTACATTTCCTGCCTTTTTAGAATGGGAAAACCGGCTGCTTTCTCTGGGGCACATCACTCCGTCATTTTTAGAGCCCGATGCACACGTCCGAGGCAGCCTTTCCAGTTTCCAGAGTTGATTGTTAATGGAAAGTGCACACTAGGCTGAAAGCCTGGCAGGAGCCGAAGCTGCAGGGTACAGCGGGGCCAGCAGTCGCCAGAGCAGCCGGTTGTATCTGGCTGCGCACTCCTCCTCCTCCTGCCTGCCTCTCCCCCCTTCATTTTATCATAGAGGTGGCTGGACTTAGAGGAGCCAAAAAGGAACCGCAGGGGCCTGAGCTTCTAGCAACCAGTGACAAGTGTGGGTGGAAGGAGACCCAGGCCTGGGACACAATCCAGTTCAAGTCAGTTGTTCATTGGGTGTGTGCATGTGTATGTGTGTGTGTGTGTGTGTGTGTGTGTGTGTGTGTGTGTGTCTGTCTGTCTCAGTGCCAGGTGCTGGGGATGCAATAGCACTAATACCAACAATAATAGCTCACATTACTGAGAGCCTCCTGTAGGCTCAGGCTTTGCTCTGAGCATCGAACACAGCTGGTCTCAATAGGATCCTCCCAACAGTTCTAAGAAGTGCTGACTAATGTTATTCCTATTTTATAGTGGCCTAGCCTGAGGCTCAGAGAGGAGAAGCAACTTGCTCAGAGTCCCACAGCCAATCAGAGGCAGAGCCAGAATCCTTCTTAGGAGTATCCGATTCCCAAACTACAGGTTTTAGCTCTCTCAGGCCAGGTTCACAGTCTAGGGGGAGGCATTTCCCAGAAAATAATTGAGCGTGCTTTGAGAGTGCTAGGGGGTGGGTGTCTGCCTGGCAGAGTAAGAGGCGGAAGGAGGCCTGGAGGAAGGCACATTTGAGTGCAGTCTTGATGGATGAGTTGGAGTTTACCTGCAGGGAAGACAGGTAGAGGGAAGGCCAAGGGCAGAGTGGGAAATAGTTCAGAGAGTGTGTGTGTGTGTGTGTGTGTGTGTGTGTGTGTGTGTGCGTGCACGTCTGTGTGTCTGAGCAATTGGTTATGCATTGGCATGTGTGGGGGGCCTGATGGGAATAGCAGAAGTTGATGAGGTGGAGGAACATAGGCTGAGGTCCTTCAGGGAGGGTCTTGGGTACCCCACAATATTATACCACATCCCTYGTGAGTGATGGATTTCAAAACCATTGTTATTTCTCTTGCCGTGGCTCCGAGGACATCTTGGGTGGAACCCAGAGCACAGAGCAGGTAGCAAGGTGGAGGTGGTACTGAGGACCTAGAGCCTGGCCTTCCCTCTGCCCCCCTGGATTGGCCTTGGAGGTCTGCCTGGAACCCTCAGTTTGAATGTGACTGCTGGAGAGCCCCAGAGCTGAGGACAGCAGCGTTTATAGACATTGGGGGAGGTGCTGACTGTGGTGGTGAGGAGGTTGGGAGAGAAGGGCCAGAGCTAGAGGCAGGGACCCGGCTCAGGGGCATCCCAGATTGTGGCTCTATGGCTCCCGTCCTTGCCAGGAGCCAGAGCCAGCCTGATTCCACCAGCGCCGTCAAGCATCATAACCCCCACGGGCCTCAGTTTCCTYGTTTTTCAAATGGCAAAATGACAGATACTTCCCAAGAGCTCACCATGAGGTTCCAATGAGTTTGGGCAGGTCCTCAAAACTTCCACGAGCCCGGTGCACAGTGAGCACAACGTGATTATTTTCTGTTGTTCAAAGACCAATTAGGAAGTTGTAGCTCAGTGTAGCACTTACCTAGCATGAGGCGAGGCCCCAGGTTTGATCCTCAGCACCATATCAAATCAAATAAAATAAAGGTTCAATTCTTAAAAAAAAAAGTGACTTGGCCCTATAGTATGGCCGAAAGATAGACCAACCCTCGTTACGTTCAGGTGGGAGAAATACACAGAAAGGAGGTGAAATAGGGGTCAGAGGGGCCCATCGGGTAACACAGGACTCAGTGACGTCCCCATTGAGCAACTTTGGGTTTTATTTTGAATGAGAAGGGAAATCCAGASGGTTTTGAGCAAAGAGAGGACAAGATTGGGCACCTGTTTAGGGGTGAGGGTAGGTGTCAGATCTTGTGGAGGGGCTGGTAGGTGACAGCTGTGTGTTTATTGCCCCCCTCTGCACACAGCAGAGCTCCTCTGGTGGRAGGGGGTTGTGAGGAATGATCTTGGCCACGGTGGTGTTGGTGTCCTCAGAAAAGAACCACCTTTCCCTCGATGGATACTGCGAAGGCGTGTCCGCTGACGCAGAGAAGTCCCTTGTCCACCCGGCTGGGAAACTTGCCCGAGTCCTCGGGGCGTGGGGTGCGCTGGTTTCTGTCCTGACCCCTTGATYGCTGTTTGGCTGGCTTCACCCCCATCGGCGACATCTCCGCCGTCCTCTCTCACACTCTGTGGTCACAAGCGGGCTTGCTGGATAAACGGGGTATTTATTTATCACTTTCCCCCCCCCCCACCGCAGTGTTTGAGAACAAAGATAAGATTGTGATCATCATGGAATATGCCAGCAAAGGGGAGCTGTACGATTACATCAGCGAGCGGAGACGCCTGAGCGAGAGGGAGACCAGACACTTCTTCCGGCAGATCGTCTCAGCTGTGCACTATTGTCACAAGGTACGGCCCAGCCTGACCGTCAGCTAGGGCCACGCAGGGCCCCGTGGATGTGTGATTCTTACCAGATGATACAGGTGATACCTGTTCATTGTGATATAAGAAGAAAATCATGGCTATTCACACTCCCCACTCTAGACCTCTCTTGGCACTCACGATCCGGTCTTTCCGAGCTCTGTGTTTTATTCTTAGGTGCTGTTGGGAAGCACCGCTGACGCTGTTTTCATTATTTGAAGTGTGTGAACACTTGGATTCTGTATGAATGGGGCTTTCTTATGTCTCATTAGGAAAGCCAAGAATGTTACAATGTAAACCAAACAGCTCCCAGGGTTCAGAACCAAACAAAAGCAGGCACCTTGTATTCCATCGTCCTCCTCCCGGAGACGTGGTTTTGAGCATTTCTGAGTTCAGAATGCCTTCCTGAAGGCTTGGATCAGGACAAGAGTAGCAGAAATACAGGTTGTCATTCCTCTCCAGTCAGTGCTTTTGGAGATATTAGGAAATGTCACAAGGAAAAGAAAACAAGCAGCCCAGGTCCTACTATAAACAGGGCAGCCGGTGTGCTCCTGAGCACGGCTTCGGCTGCACACGTCCCTCCTCCTGCGGAATGATGCTCAGATCCTGCTCCCTGAGCTTTATCCACACAGCTCCCTAGAGGACAGTTGGATCTATTGCCAAATGGCCCATTCGCATCTTTCGGCTGGTTCTGTGTCACTGCCGTTCAGCTTCCAGCCTTGCCAGTGTGCCCGACGGGAAGCTCACACAGTGTGGCAGTGTGACCCGCTTAGGTGAGGCCAGTGTCTCCATGGGTCTGCTCTGTGGTTCACCTTTCACCTGCCCCAAGTCCTGCTAAACCCCGAGGGACTGCCTCCCTCCACCCTCCCAGCTCTCTAGGARGTACCCGTGGTCCTCAGGGCAGGTCTCCATCACTTTCATGGGTCAGAGGACCTTGGCCCAAGCGCCTTTCTAGCGGGGGATGCACACAGACAGGCGCGGCCCTGGAGCCCCGCACTCGGAGCTGCGGGCAGACGCGCCTTCCYTGGGAATCCCGTCTCAGACAGACGCGGTCTGTGCTGCCTGGGACGTGAGGCTTTCACATGGCGGAATTACATTCCGACACAGAATCCCCCTGCTGGTTTACAGGCGCTGGGGGAGAATGGATTCCAGTCATTTTTCCCTTAACCACACAGCAAGTGACTAATGCTCTCCTGTCCCTGTCGCTGGCGGGGGAGCGTCATGACAGCAAGAGCAGCCTTGAAAGATGGAGGTGCAGACCACCGGGCGGGCGCCCTTCTTTCATCTGTCAGACGTTCCCACTAGCTCGGCCTCCTCCTTCCTCTCTCTCTCTCTCTCATCCGGCTGCTCCTATTCAGTTCCCCTCCTGTCTTCTCATTTCAGAACGGTGTGGTCCACCGGGACTTGAAGTTGGAAAATATACTGCTCGATGACAACTGCAATATTAAGGTAAGGCTCTGGCCTCGCTGATTGATAGGCAGAGTCTGGGTTGCATGGGGCTGGGGGTGGAACCCCCTCTGGGCTGCAGCCTGGAATGAATGAGGCAGCCACTCACTTCCCTTGCTGCAGGCAGATTCCGGAAGAGCTTGGCTGGAGCTCTCAGTTTAGTGCAGTTTTATCCGACCATCATTTATTGATCTTCTACTAGATGCCAGACTGTGCTTGCTGCTGGGGTGTAAAGAGATGACCGAGATACAGTTCCTGCCCTCAGGAAGCTCCTAGTCTAAAGTCATCCCCCCCAAAAGTACTTCGCACCAACTAACACATATTTCATATGTATTTCACATCCTGTTTGACTGATATTCCCTTAAATTCAGTCTTCATGACACCCATACAAGATAGGAACTGCTATTTACATCATTTTGCAGATAGGGAAACTGAGGCACAGTAACACAGTGGTAAGTACTGGAGTTCATGTCACCAAGTTGGTTTTGCTAGCAGGGCCCCACCTCTCCTACTTCTCCCTCCAACCCTCTCGCCCCTGACACCAGCCACAGAACTGGGAGGCTGACCAAATTGATGGTGGTGTTGGCTGTTGGGAAATTGCAAAGGATGGAGTTTACTTTTATGGGGAGTATTATTGCTGGCTGCCGTCGGAGCTGGAGAAAGCTCTCCTGGCCAGCAGGGTTCAAGCGCCTCCTGGGGAGCACTGTGAATGTCCTTTTGATCTCGTCTGCAAAATAAGCAAATACGGTTTCAAAATAAACGGAGCTCGCTGCATGGGTTTCATTATGACATGGCCTCAGTGTTCCCAGCACCAGCAGGAGCCCTCCAATTGGCCACTTGTGACGTTAGTGCCTTATCCCTGGTCCCCGGACAAAGCATGGGAACGGGTTTGCACCCTTGTCTCTTTTGTTGTTCTTGGTGTCAGTGGTGGRGTGCGCAGCGAGACAGTTCCCGGCTTGGAAGGATGGAGTTGCTTTTGTAGATCATGGTGGCAACCTCTGGTCACCACCACCCTTTGAGAGCCCCTGGAAGCCACATCCCGGTGACCTCTTGTTCTCCCAGAGTAGCCGACCTCAGATGTACATTTCCATATCGTCCGTAGAGTTCAGAGGAACCACTGGTCAGTTTCCCTAGGAACAGGAAGTGAATGCTCAGGATCTTTCCATTTTGGGCAAAGTGACTGGATTATTCTAGAAGGAGCACTAGATGTGGTGTTAGAAAATTCTGGGCCGTGTGACTTATTAGCTGTGTAACGTGGGGAAAGCCACACAAACCTGTTTCCTCCACTATACAATGGGCAACAGTAATGCCCAGCGTGTTTGCTGTGGCTGTGAACGAGATATCCTCTCTGTTCAGTTCTCTTAACTGCTAAGAACGGTGTACAAATGAGTCAAGGTGAAGAGTAGTGGCTTTGGGGATGGATAGCCCGGGTTTGCATTGCAACCCTGCCCCTTACTAATGGAGGGTTTTAGGTCAGTTATTCATGGGTCTAAGTCTTTGTTTTCTTATCTGTCAAGCAGGGATGCCTCTTCCTATCTCTGGGGATTATTGTTCATTCATTTTGTTCATGTGCATTATCTGTGTAGTTACTGTGTACAGCGCCCTGTGCCCAGTCCTGGGGCATCAGTAACAACATGGAAAATTTAGACAATACTATAGTGAAAGTGTTGGCGCTTACCGATGCTAGATGAGAGCCACCAAGTGTCTGGGCCCTGGAGAGGGAACCGAGAGGAAGCCATCTGGCTGAAGGTGCTGGGTCCTGGGGAGTGGGGGTCAGGTCCTGCTGCAAAGTTGGGTCCCGGCCTTCTAAAGGTTTGTGTCATCGACCTTGGTGACTTTCTCTTCAGCTTCTTCCTGCCACCTGCCCCCAGAGCCCTCAGAACTAAATCCAGTCTTTACAAGGCCTGGAATGTGATCCTCTGCCTGGGGATTGTGTTCTGTGCTGCACTGTGACCTCTTTGTCCTATGATGTAGTCCCAGAAGTGATAAGGCACATAGCTTCCTGCAGAGTCATAGAATTCCCCAGTGGAGGAGAAGAATGGTTAGAATTCTGACAGCAATTGCGCAGGGGACAATGGGGTAGGAGYCTGGAAGGATGGCTTATGTCCGTAGTAAGCAAGATGGCAGTGACAGGGGACCAGCTCCCAGGGACCAGCTCCCTCGACCTTCCTTCGTATCAGGTAGGCAAACAGCACACACAAAGAAGAACAATAACATTGAAGTTTGGACATGTCTTTGTCTTTTCCTTAGAAATTTCTACTCCTGGCATTTCCCAAGGTAGAGTGTGTGTGTGCGTGTGCCTGCATGTGAGCACACACAAACACACACACACACACATCCCATATAGAATCAAATCTCTGCTTTTTTTTTTTTTTTTTTTTTGGTTCTTTCTCTGCTTATTCAAGGAATCCTGAGAATCCCAGAGCTTGAAAGGTTGTTGAGAATCACTTTCCAACCCCTTGTTTTAGTGATCAGTCTGAGTCTCGGTGATGTGTTACTGATCACGCTGTGAGCCCGAGGTAGCCGTCTCTGTTTCCCTGGTGTGTCAAACAGTGCTCAGCGCACAGTAGGTACTGAGGAACTGTCTGGATCAGGGAGTGAAGGAATAATGGGCCGGGATTAGAACTCACATGTTTGACTTCCAGGCAAATTCTCTTTTTCTTCCTCTCACACCCACTTCCAAGGTTTTTGAAAATGGACTTCAGCTGGTGTTGATTTGTCTTCCGGCTGTATACCCTCAGCACTTCCTGACTCAGCGTTTTGGCCAAGCATATTTAGAAAGGGCACTTGCTGACAAAAGCAGCCAGACACATGGCCACAAGCTGGCCTCTCGTGTCCATCCCCGCTGGACCGGGGGCCCAAGGCACAGATGGGCTACCCCCCGGGGGTAGGAGTGGCAAGGTCCTGCCTCRAGGCTCTGAGGGTGCCTCTCTAAATGCGGGTCCACCTTCTGTGTCCAGAGGGTGGAGGGCTTGGCCCTCTAAGGAAGCCACTGGTTTTCAACTTGTGACACGTCGCTGCCATCTTGGTGTGGGCCGTGTAGCTTGCGCCTCTCCTCTTCCCTGCCTGATGTTGATTTGCCCAGAGCACATCTGGCCTTGGAAATTATTTATCTGGCCACTGCGAGAGGGTGTGGTTTCTAAAAATACTCACACAGTCGGTCGGCAGAAAGAATGAGAGCAATGTGCTGCTTTGGGTCGCATTCCGTGCTCTGTGGAAGCATGGACTAAAATAGCACCCGGCGTAGCATTAATTTGCAATTAATAAAAACGGGCCAGATTCACATCCCACTCTCTGGGAGAATGGAATGCTGACAATTCCCAGAGAAGACTCCTGTACAGACGCCTCCCAGTGAGAAGAGGGCCCGGCACCAGGGTCAGCTAACCTCCTCAGAGAGGGCTGGGAATCTGRTGAGCTCCCAGGGCTCGGGGTAGAGGGGCATAAGGGAGATGGCCTGCTGCCCCCGGTGACAATGGAAGCGCTGCTGTGGCTAAGAAAAGAGGCTTTGAATGGCCGGGGACAAGATGAGATAGAAACCTCCGGGTTTTAACAAGACTGAGGCTTGGGATCACTGGGATCACGGGCCTCTGGGCTTTGATTATTTGAATGTGAGAACTTTGCATTCCTGCACTAATCAATTCATTTGTTCATTCATCTCCCCACTGTGTGTGTGTGTGTGTGTGTGTGTGTCCACGAGTGTGCATCCATGCATTCATGCATTCACTCACGTAGTTCTGCACTTACTCATTGAGCAGTTGAACATCTGGGTGATATTGGATCATAAGTACTTAGTGAGTTCGCTCTGGTTTTTGGCCCTGTGCTGGATGCTGGGGATTTAATAGTGAATCAGATGACCAGGTCCCTGTCCTCTTGGAACTCAGAATCTGGCAGTTGTTAAACTGGCAGTCGTGCTGCCACAAGAAGGACACAGAGGTAAATGAAGAAGCTTAGGTGCTTCCCCTCGTGGATTTAGGGTTTCCAGTCKGGGGTGCAAACCAATAAGTAAATGACGTCATTGGTGCAGAAAACCCACTCAGGTGAGGTGGAGCGTGCAGGTGCTGATTTAGCTGGGCAGGTCAAGGAAGGCCCCTTAGGTGGGACTAGAGCTCCTCCGTCCACCGAGCTTTCTCTGGCTTCCTGACCCTGGCACACATGCTTCTGTCTGGAAGGCTCTGCTTCCGGGAAGCATTTTCCGAATCTGATCCCTGGTGCCATGGGGTGTGAAGAGCTGACGGAGCTAGTGGGTCTGTCCAGGGGAAGGGCCAGAAAGCCTTTGTCGAGGAGGTGATAACAGAGGTGGGTTTTGAAGGATGGATAGGAGTTCAACAGAAAGGCATGTGACAGTGGCCCTTCAAGGGAAGAAACCACAAGCTCAAGAATAAGGCGAAGAGAGTGGAAAGGAAATTCAGAAGCCAGGTTGCTCCCAGTTGCTTACTCCTCTGATCCCCARGACATCCCCACCAGGATGCTCTGATCACCCGCATCTTGCAGRTGAGGAGCCTCCTGCAGTGAATACTAGTGGGACTGGCCACAGCCRTGTAGCCAGCACCTGCCTCTAAGTTCTACCCTTTACTGCCAACGCCCCAATTTGCTCCAGGTCCAAGAGAGCCCTTGGTAGGAAGGCACCTTTTAGTACTTGCTGTAGTCCGCCTTACCAGGAGGCTTGCCGACAGCTGTCTCTGGGAGAGAATCTCYGAGGGCTTGTTGTGGCGGGGGGCCAGGCGTCCTGAGTCGCAGTGGCTGGAGCAGGTGGAGGGTGCCAGAGTCCTGTGTGCACTGAGCTGCAGGACTGTTCCTCCGCTCCCCTGGGAGGCGGCCTCCCGGATGTGCCCTTGGGCAGCAGCTTCTCCAGGTTGCTCCCTGTYGCTGGTCGCTTGTCTCTCTGGAGAGGTGGTGTGGGTGTGAGCGGAGACCTTCTGAAGATGAAAGCCCCTCGCCTCTGCTCATTGCTCCACTCCCTACCTTCAGGCGAGCATTCGACCCCTGAGTGCCTCGGTTTCCTC